CTCTCTTTTATTTTGAGGACGGTGAATTTTTCGAGCTGACATGGAGCCGAATATATTTTTCTAGAAACTTCTACGTAGCTGAAAAAATGTCAAGGTTTTTCGTAAATGAATAATATAAGTTTACAAATTACTTTTTCTTTAATTCATGTAAAATGATGAAATACATTTTTAGGCTTACAAATGATATTTTTTTCGTTCCAAATTAAAATTATTTACAATCAGAAGAGATTATTTTTATTATCATATAGTCTTTAGTATGTGGGCATTCCGTAAGCCCCTCCCGCAAAACCATCCAACTCATCGAAGCAAAAATGAAACATTTCACCAAATAATTGATACAAATATCCCTCGTTCTGGTGAGGTATTGTACGACGGAGGTCATCCCTGGCCAGAAGGTAAATCTCCTCGAAATTGCTGCGTATGCGATAGTGGAGTTCTTCAATGGCTGGCATCCTGTTGTATTCCATATAATGCAAGGCAACACTTGTGATCGCCCGGACCAGAGACTCCTTGTATTGTTTGAGAGGCAATGAGTCCAAAAATTTTAACTACTGATCGATCCATGCCGCTTTGTTTTTTAATGTTGTAATGCTCGGGCTCATCATAATGAGGGGTTGTCTTACATCAGCACGTCCAAAAGCAACGCAGGGGTTATCGTAGCTGAGATGGAATCTCACTTTGACATCCCCAAATTGCTTAGCAGGTACATGGTGGACGGCTTTTGGGTGAAACTTCTCAGGATCAAAGTAGTCCGTAATGGCATCCATATCTTTGTACAGAAGGCCCCATTCTTCCCGTGAGATTATAACAACACGACACGGTTGGGGCGTACGGCCATAAAATGCACCACAGGAACAAATTGTCCGAGACAGGTAACTTGTAAACCACCACAAATTTGTTTCGTCGCCGACTTATTGAGAGATGTAACTTGCGACAGCACCACCTGCTGTTCGACACCACTGCACTCTTTTTCGTTGATATTTGCCATGTTAAAAAACTGATGAGCGCAATTGGATCGACTGGATGAAATACACCGCGAGCAGCCACGTTTTATAGCATTAGGTATGAGAGTGAGGTGCGCTTATTTCCCCCCACCATACACATAACAAGCCTATGCGCACAACACACTACCCCCACCGTAGGGAGAGCTGCGGCGTCGGCGTCACATATGACCCCCCCCCC